TAAATAAGATGAGAAAACAAAAGTGAAATTGATCTGTTTCTGCCACCTAGCTTTCTGCTGTTCAGGGATGCGGGTGTCTCAGCTTGTGCAGGCAAAGGTGCACATGTGTGTTACGTGGATATAGCGTATTGCAAAACAAAAGGAAAGAATATATAATTGGTATACATATGAAGTGAAAGGAGGAGAGAGCAGAGCCAAATGCCGACTGCCGACAGTTGCAGATGGACAAAGGCGGTTGAACAGAAACGATAATTAAAGGCGCAAACAAGTGGTGTTTCTATATTTGGGAAGAGAGAGAAGCCGCTTCCGATGCATACATACGATTTGGGGTCAAGTCCATTTAAACATAATTATTTGATATGTTTGACAAAGTGAAAGCTTACACCTAGAAATATATACCACAAATGACAAGACTAATGGAGTGGGATGTAAGCAAACATCAACTCTTTTTTATGTAACAAAAAAATGAACACATATACTACCTCTGATTCTAATTATAAGAGTTAATTGACTAATTTGAGAAGATTAAAAAAATAAATTAAGTTAGTTATTTATAATAAATAGGTATTGTCTTTCTTAAAATATCCTTGCTAATCAAGTGTATTAAAAAGAATATCTTAGAAGGATGTTTAAATTTAATATGCAACAAAATTCTTATTTTTATACACTTTCATATATTATTGCATATTGATATTTAAAAATTAGGATTGATTTTCAAATTTTATAAAAATGAATCAATAATTATTCAATATAATCTCTAAAAGATTGTGTTCGATATAAATTTAAACATTTGGGATGTTCCTGCGCATTTGGGATTGCCCATGAAAGCAGCTAGATTCAGAGCAGTGTTTTTTCTGTCATCCTGAGTCTCCAGAGAAACTTCTAACGAGCCCACCATCCGTTCCGCCACCTCCTCACTCCCATCAGATACTGCTACGTGTATCTATATATATTGGCGGATCCACGTACGATAGCTTCTTGGACTACTGCTTGCGTTTGCTGATTCATTAATTAAGTTATTCCCTTCAAATCTCCAATATAATATGGATAGGGGCTTAATTAATTGTGGGTCCAGTTGCCAGCCGAAAAGAAAAAGGTGAAAGGTTGAAGACAGCAGATTTGGCAAAAGGAATGTTTATCCAGTAGATGAAGACGTTGCCGGGAATTATGGCTGCAGTGTAACTTTACGCAAGCCTGATGCCAAAACATGTGATTCTTCTTGTTCACGCCTCTCACTCGCTGGGAAAGAATGATAGTTTGTGTAAACTGGTACGTGCTGTAAATTACGCAGTCCTTCCATCCTTTTTTATAACCAACAACTACCATTATTCTCTTATTTCTAAATATAAGCAATTTTTACAAGTTGTTTTAAATTTTTGTAACAAATTTTTCATTTTACCTCCATTAATTATTTATTTTAATACTTAATATATTTGTTATCTTATTTTCCAAACCATCATCTCTTTTCATTATATATTTTCTCTCTTTCATAATTTTTTTATTATAATAATTTTTTCATTCTCTTTCTTATACTCTCTCCCCCTATACATAAAGGTATTTTGGAAAAATAATTTTCAATTTTCATATATTTATTGTCTTTAACTAACTTTTTGATCTACAAAATAGAGTCCAAGGTTGCTTATAAAAAGGAATGGGGGAGTAGTAAATTTATCATCATCCCTCATCTCTTGGTACAAGAAAGGAAAATTGCATGCTATGAGAACTCAAAACCATAACAAACCAAACTCATTAAGCTTATACCTACTAGATATTGGGAAAAGAATAATAACCAATTAATAACTAAGACATACGAAAGCATAAACATATTCTAAAGTTATAAAATAAGTGTAGGTATAATATATATCTTTCTAATTATTTTTTTCAATTGCAAAACATTTATTATCCTTTTTAGATTATATTTTAACACTTATTTGTACTCTTGTAGTTGGACTAAGATCAGAGCATTCATGATTCAACCTTGATAAAATGAATTAAAATTGAAATATAAAAAGATATAAAGTGACTGGAATGTATAAAACGAATTAAAATGGAACCTGAATCATTGTGAATCTATATCAAATGATATTGAAAAAGTTGAAACAAATTAATTTTTTATGTTTAAGAAAAAGGCGAAAGATTAAAGACAAATTGAAAAGAGAGGTGTTTATCAAATAGACGGAAAGGGGTGCTGGGAATTATGGGTGCCAATTATTTTTACGCTAAGCCGAACGCCAAAACATGTGATCCGTCTCGTTTACTCCGCACGGGCCAAAAACTTGTTATATATGCATCTACCATCTGGCGTATGCCATGCGTATACTGTATAAATGTTAGTTATGAAGGAATAATTTTGAAATACGGCAACTAATATTGTATATATACATATATACTAGTATTTGATTGTTGTGAGAATGTATTAATTACCGCATACTAATTTGTTTTGTATTTAATAGTCATTAATGATTAATAATTATTCACCCAGGTTCCGCATAATTTTTGTTAATATAAAGACAATTCTATTCAAATAAAGGAAGGCTCCAAAACACGAATGTTGAAATAATGAGGACCCCTGCCCAATCTGAAATTAAAACATACCGAAAGTCAGCTCCAAGCTAGCATCAACGTTGTAAACCTGAAGGACGAAACTTAAAAAAAAGGCAATTTGTATTCTTTTGCACTTGAGATAGTATGAAGCATGAACAACCTTTTATAAATAACGTCACAAAAGATGGAGGTATGCCATGAAATATTGCAAATGCCACTGAAATAAAAATTCCAGTACTAAGTAAGCCTGGTCGACAGGCCAGAAAGAAATTTTGATGATACCAGTACTGGTAATGAAAGCAATAAATTTAATATAATCCAAAAATCACAGTCGTAGCAAACCGACCTTGCATTAATTAGCTGAGGATCTTCTAAGACCAAATTAAACTCGCATGAAGCCATGAGATAGAGTGAAAATACTTCCGCCGGTTAACAGGAAAAGATTTGATATAAATAAAGAGGCAAAATTATCATAAATCGATTTTTACACCTACGAAACTACTATAAAATAAAAAACGAAATAAAAAATAGGTCAATTTATTGATATGCAGCTTTTTTAAAATCTGAGTGTGGGAAAAATTATAGGGAGTTTTGTTAGGGGCAATTTAATATATATATATATATATATATATATGCGCGTTCGGAATTAAAAATGAAAGAATTCTGAATGGCCAATCAACGATTTTTTAGGACAGATTATGGGGCTTGAATTCCGGAGCTAGAAAAAGAGAATTATTTTTTGGACTTTCCATGTATATATTTTTATGAGATTTATTAGTTTGGGATTTTGAGTTTTCTTTTACACATGAACTGTGTTGTGTTTCATGCAAACAATTATTTTATGTTTTAATGTGTGTGTATTCAGTTTCCTCATATGTTTATATATGTTCTTCTCTAAAGCTTCCCATCTTGAATTGCACGAGTTGTCATTGATTACTCTTTAAAAGGAAAAGATATAATTGTTTGCTTTATTCACATACTAAGTGGAATGTAAATGATTAATTGAAAGATGGTTGTATGCTAAATTTTTAGATATAATTATTAATCAACTAATAGTGGCCTATCACGTTAGAAGTGGGTTTTGCGTATTAAGGACTTTGTAATTTTGACATAACTTCGTATATGTCTAAATTGTGATTCTTAGTAATTTTTGCATAACTTGGTATATGTCTAAATTGTGATAGCCATCGTATATTGTTTGTGTTGGTCTTTTTCACTTTTTTATAATTGTTTTCACATTTTCCATAAAAATTCACAAAAAATTATTAAAAAATATTTGTTTTGTGTTATGCATGCTTAATAGTTTTGATAAAAGTTTTTTAATTTTAAATTAGGGCATCCATCACCAGCTACTCAACATTTGAAATTGTACGGCACTTCCTAACATTGTTGTTTATGATGAACACATCTACATTTGAACCCTCCTCCAAATATATTAAGAAACCAACAAGAAACAAATGTAATTTACATGAAAATCCCCCAAATTTACATCCAGACTTCAAGGTTTCCTTAAAGTAACCACAAACCACAAATTCTTTCAAGAAAGATTATTTACATGAATAGATACACCATGGATATTAAATATGCTTCCTTTCTCTGTTTTCTCCCCCTACTACAACACATACTAAATGATGCAGCCCTGCACAAAAAAAGGATCACGTAAGTAGCACTGGAGAACTCTTGATTAACAAAAATAGAGCTCCAATAGAAGTAAATTTTACTCAAACGAAATTTAGATTAATAATTAAAAAAAAATTTGTGCCAACAGATTAATAATTAAAATCTGAATTGTTTCATACTTGCTTTGAGTTTTTAGTTGATTTAATAATAGACTTGATCCTCATCATTGATAACTAATCTGCTTGACTTAAAAGAAAGTGATTTTGTTTTCCATTTAGAATGGTTTATAAGTAGCTTTTCAATCATAACTTACGGAATTCGAGGTAAGCAATGTGAAGCATACTTATCAATGATTTGATGCCAAATAGGGATGAATATACTGTTGAGAAGCAAGGTTCCATATGCTATACTTGCACTGTTGTGTTACTATAGGGTTTTTCCAAAGATCTAGGGAGACCCTATCGAGACTTTATAAGACCTCAAAACCTTTATTTATATGAAATTTCGTTAACGATTGGCCTTGATATCATAAAAAGAGTGTAAAGAAGTCCACATCTCATATTCATGTTCAATATCGTCAAACATCTGCAATGGCAATAAGTCAATATTGGAGGCTCAAATCAGCAATTACTCGGGATCAGAAAATCTTGCGAGGTTCAAACATGTCATCACGCTAATAATATATGTTTTCTTTTTGGCGGGGGGGGGGGGGGTTGGGGCCAGAATGGAAGACGAGAGGGAGAGAGTCCCCTGGCTATATATATACAACCATGAATAAAACATAATCCTTGACTAATATAGGAATTATGCAAGAGCACCAGCACCCACTACCCCCTCTAAATACGTCTTTGATTGTATGGTTGTGGAACTTTCATAAAAATACCTTTGAAAAGATCCATGTAGAGTGGAAATTCTACAATGGTGAAGTAGACAGGAAGACAAATGATAATATAAAGAAGAAGCACTGATTTCTTGAACTTGTCCTCAAGCACAAAGGAATGTGCGGCGCAGAAAGAGAAGAACATTGAGAAAATGGACACAAAAAGCGAGCTTAAGGCCAGAAAAAGCTTCACCGGCAATCTTTTCATAAAATCAGCGGGTTGTTTTCGAGAGATGAGTATGGAAAGAAACATGATCAACGCAGTGACAGAGAAGCAGAGCGCAATAAGTGCAGTGATAGCAAAAATATCAAACCCATCATGTCCTTCTAAGGTTGGCTTGCCAGTCTTATCATCGTTGCCACCGGGTATATTGCTTGATGTCGCAAAGGAAACTCCGGCAACCAGCGTCGCCACCACTGAGCAATATTCAGACGTACGACTAAGCCATTCATCACTCTTTTCAACAAGATCTTTATGATGTCTAAGGAAGACTTCTTCCGGAGTTTCTCCTTTTTTGTTTTCAAGGAATATGAAGTGGGAGGGCAGAAACGATTTCACATACTGCAAATCAAATTCCACCAGCAAAGTATTTAAATTTAAATATTCACAAGTATGGCTACTAGATGTATCTGAGAGTGGAAAATAAATATACTATCTGATCATTTACGTCATACCACTTGATTTCATCTTGCATTTGCAAGGCACTATAGCCCTGAATCTGCAATTCGTACTTTGCAACCAAGTGGAATATATTATTGCCATCAATATCAATTGACTGAATAAGGTATTTCCAGTGATTGCTTTTGTTCACTGCTTCTAAAATTCCGAGCTGTGTGTTCTCCACTGCCGATAACACTATATTCTTTTTCTCATCATTCATGTCGTCAATAGCCACCGGAAACAATTCTAGATTCTTCTCAACCATCTCTGTCACTCCGTTCTTTGCAGCAATTAGTATAGGTGTCTCAATTCTCTTATTTTTAGAATCTTTCCCGCCTTCACATAACAACAAATGTTGCTTATCACCAAGAGAGAATATAGTTAGATTCTAAGTATTAGTTTTTTTTTTTTTTGAGAACAAAGCCCTAGTTTGTTCCTCTTTAAAATATACTATCAAGATCTAAAATTTCGTAATTTACGTTTGTCCTGTTGTTGTTTATCACTTCCAGGTCTGATTAGTCTGATGTCTTCATCTAAACAACAAAGACCTACTATTCCATCCTGTGCATAATCGGTGTCTATGTCGAAATCAATGGGTTGGGGTTCACCCCCGTTGTTTTCTTACTCGTACAACGAAGCACGATCAAGAAGTTCATTCATTAGTTGAAAAGAACAAACATGTTTCTCCTTCTCTTGATGTATTTTTTTAAATCCGCTCGATCCTTGATCGTTATGTGAAAATAGATATAGATGTATATGAGTCATTCTAACTCAGATTGATTAATATGGGAGGAACAAATTAAAGACGCGTGTAATCTGAACAAACAGAATAAAGGGGACTCATACATATGCATCGCAAAACCTAGGATACTTTGCTCTCCTATCTCTACTTGGCAAAGTAAGACACGACTGTTTACAGATAAGCAAATAGACGTACCTTGGCCAACAATCACCTCCAGTGCCAGGTATACGAATTTAAAAAGTTTACAGCAGGGTTCACAGTTTACTGGATATAACTGACGCGTACTACAGCGAGCTCTACGTTCTTGTCCTGGGCAAAATTAATGTCAATTGTGAGCTGGTGAGGGTATTAAGACGAGCGCATGGTCTTGTCGTCTTGTGCCAAGAAAATTCGCTTTCCTATGAAATAACTTTTTTAAAAAAAAAATATAATGTACCAAACATCAAGAGAATTCTCACCTGCGATGTTATTATTTCCGGCCACTTCGGGATCCTCTGCATTTGATGGCTGTCTTTCCGAACAACATTTCTCTTTCAAAAAGCGAACCATTGGAAACTTGTTGGTTACTGGAAATGAAAATACATAAGCTGTCTCAAGCTAAAGGTAAAAAGTGAAGGAAAAACAAATCATGCATTTAAGGTAATGCTAGACGGTACTGTCTCTTAATGTGTTCGTGTATAATAATACGTGTGTGGACTATACTTACCTCAAGCTTCACATATGACATGTGCATTACATACGTCGCAACACGGCAAATGAATGAACTGCTCGACTCTCATCCACTTCTTAGTTCAACCAAGATTTGAAATTAGAACATTCCAGATTTCGTATTTTATAAAATTATCAATAAAATATTAAATTTTTTTAAAAAGGTAATAAAAGCAAGCTACTAAATTTTAGGCATGACAATTTTAAACAATAATAAATTTTTTTATAAAATATTAGATCTGAACCAGTCAAATTTCAATATTAATAGTTGAGACACGGAGTAGATGAGGATGGAGGGCAAGAAAAATGGAGAGAGCCCTTTTCTCAAAAGTACACAATGGATTAATTCATACAAATATTATAACAACTACGACAATTATTTCTACAAATAAGTAAAATTTATGCATCAACACAAATTCAAAATATAAATTAAAATAACAAACGGTTGCTTGTAACTTGATAGCAAACGGTTACTTAATTCAAAATATAAATTAAATTTGACAAAAGTAAATTCAAAATGTAACTTAATAACAAACGGTTACTTTTTTATATTTCACATGTTCCTAGCTACTGTTATGAGGAAGAAATTAATAACAAACGGTTACTTAATAACAAACGGTTTAAACAATCAATTATTCCGACACTTTAATATTTCACTTTTTTTTTTTGAAAAATTAATCTTTTGATCTTTCAACTATTAACTTGCTTATAATTTAGTCTCTCAACTATGACTCGCCATAACTCAATTCTTGAATTTTTGACCTACCTATAATTCAGTCCTTGAACTTTTCATATTTAATAATTTAATTCTTATCATCCATAATTTATTTTTAAACATAAAATAATTATCCTACATGGCAAAAAATTACTTTAACACTATTAAAAGTTGCAAACATGTCATCCAACTCAGCTTATATGCATTTGATGAATTTTTTTAAGGAAAAAAAAGACTGTCTGGCCGACTCAACTCATCGTCCCCTCCTTCCTCCTCACCTTTCAAGGACCATGTCCATTTCTTCACTGGCATTCGCTAATCTCTTCTTCCTCCACATCTTTCCAGAGACAAACATGCTCTATCTTCCTCCTTGTTTCATTTCTTCCTTCATATCCCTCCACACATTTCTCTTCCCATGATTCTCACTCAGCCTGCAATGCTCTCTAGTTTGAGCGACCCTCTGATTCAGGTGCATAACCTGGGGGTGTGGCCAATTAAAATTTGTATACTTGCCATTGTGATTCTAAAGGCCATAAAGAAAACAAAACAGTTGCATCATCCTTCAACCTCCTCATATACATAGCAGGAGGACAAATGTGTGGAGGGGGTTATGAGGAAGAAATGAAACAAGGAAGAAGACAGAGCATGTGCGTCCCTGTGAGGAGAAAGGCGAGGATGCATGATGCCGACCAGATGGTTTTTTTTTTTATAATAGACCACATGGTTTTTTAATAGTGAAGTAATTTTTTCTGCCATGTAGGGTAGTCATTGTATGTTTAAAAATAAATTATAAGGATTAAATTTCATTTCTTCCTCGTAACCCCCTCCACACATTTGTCCTCCCGCTATGTATATGAGGAGGATCAAAAGGTGAGTTTTTCCTTCTTCTTTTTTTTAATATTTGTATTTACTTCGTAGCGATTCATAACCACTAGTTGGGGTCATAAAGCTTGTTCTCTCCATGGCCGTGGGTGGGGCCGCAGTTTGAAACTGCTATGATAATGATGCTAAGATTTTTTTAAACAAAAAAAAAAAATTAAACACCCACAGCAATTCAGCAATTGCTGCAAATGTTGGGGGATGAACTTAAATGATGTGCCCGTGGCCGGTGGCCCGTGCCATTTAGGGAAAAAACCTCATCAAGTATGGATGGGTATAGACAGAGTTACACGCTGATTGCTCAGTCCTAGAAATAAGAAAGCAATGGAGGGAAAATCAAAGAAATGAAGGAGGTTAGGAAAATGAAAGCTCTGGTGTCACTGCTCAACATTATTCATAGATAAAGTGTGTATATGTGTGGATATAAATGTAGTTACAATATGAACGAAATTACAAGTAAAAAGAAATGAGAATAGATGACAAAGAAATTGAAGTACCAACGGCAAGCAAGGTTTTCACGATCCCCAAAAAAGGCGCCGCAAGTCCTGTAATTGTCTGGAAGATTGCAATTTGCTTCGTGCTCACCTGCCTTTGGGGATAACTGTTGATAATGGTACTCAGCTACCGCAAGATCCTCAACAAATATACCTTTCAAACAATAAAACGAGGTGCGCGCCCACATATACATATTATATATCAAGAAGATGGATATTTAATTTAGAGTAGAATTAACAATTGTTTCCTTTCTTCCATGAAAAATATGACTTAATTAATTAGTACTTACAGTGATAAATGACCATTTCAAATCGTCCAAGGCGGCTACTGCTTTTGAAATCAGAAGGCTTTGCTGCCAGCAGATGGAGGGGAGACAACTGCTCTTCGTTCACGCAGTTTACTAGTTCTCCATACAAGTGAATTATTTGGAACGCCAAATCTGTCATTAAGATAACATAAATAACAATATTATTATAAAGAGTTACACCACCAGAGGAGTCTAAGATCACATCAGTAAACATACGCGATGAAAATAATAGTACCATAGAAGTTTCCGGCAATTGCACAATGAAGGATAGTGTCGCCGCCGTTCCTTCTACAGTTCTCATATCGGGGGTAAGCGCCATTAGGGTGAGAGAGATAATGAAGATAAAGAAACGCTTCTCTATTGCCAAGAAGAGCCGCCAGGAAGAGAGGTGTCTCGCCGTCGACGTTTCGAATGGCGAATGAGGAGGGATTTTTCTGCGCAATGAGTCGACACATTCTGGGATTGCCCATGGAAGCAGCTATATGCAGAGCAGTGTTTTTACTGCGATTCTGGGTCTCCAGAGCCTCTTTACAGTGCTTCGGGCACGATGCCATGAGCTCCACCATCCGTTCCACCACCTCTTCGTTCCCATTAGACACTGCTACTTGCACCGCAGTGCTTCCAGACCTCGTTATTTTGGCCTTGTGAAGCCTTGGATCCTCTTTACACAGTTTAATCACCTCCTCCCATTTCCCTTTCATGGCGAATGAAAATAGCCGCTTCTTCTTGGTTTCCAGGAGGTCTGTATCCATTTTCTCACCACCTAAGCTAGCTAGTGTTGGCACTTCTTTTGACACGGTGACACACTGAAACTCCAACAGCTAGTTCCTTTGTGCAATAATATTTTAGACTTCTACGTGTGTCTATATACATGGGCGGATCCACGTACGATAGCTTCTAGGACTACTGCTTGCGTTTGCTGACTCATTAAGTTATTCCCTCGAATATAATATGGATAGGGGCTTAATTAATTGTGGGTCCAGTTGCCAGCCCAAAAGAAAAAGGCGAAAGATTGAAGACAAGTTAATTTGGAGGAAGGAATATTTATCCAATAGGTGACGATGTCGCTAGGAATTACGGGTGCGCAAACACGCAAGCCCGATGCCAAAACATGTAATACTTCGTGTTCACGCCTCTCATCCACTGGGAAAGAAATAATTTTAGGTACCTCTGTGAACTGATACGTGCTGTAAAACTTATTATACCATGCTTAACAATTTTAAACTCCGTAATAAATTTAATATCGTCATCCCTCATCTATTGTACGAGAAGGAAAAAGTGAGAATTACAATTAAGTCCTAAAAAAATAATTCATAAAAAGTCCCAATAACAACCTAAACAATCTATAATGATAAGTTTCAAAGTAAAAAATAATAATAATTTTTAATACTTATTTTGTAATTATTTTTCTTTTTTAGGACTTAATTGTAATTCTCCCAAAGAAAAATTCCATGCTGTGAGAACTGAGAACCATTACAAACTAAACTTAATTAGCATTAGCTAAGAAATATGTACACACACATATTCGAAAATTATAAAATAAGCACGTATGTTATTATAAATGTACACACACATATTAATTTTTTAGCCTTATTAAATTAAATTTTTGCTACTCATCCTGTCCTAGCTAAATAATGGGTCACCGGATGGGTACTTATTTTAACTCTCCTAGGTGGATTAAGATCAGACATTCAACCTTAGTAAAATGAATTAAAATTAAAATATAGTAAGATGTAAAAGAAATGAAATGTAATAAAATCAACTAGATTGGAATTTTAAATCATGATCACTTTATTTCACATGATGTTTGCAAAGTTGAAAACATAATATTTTTTATGTCTGAGAAAAAGATGAGAGTTTAAAGACAAAATGAAAAGAAAGATGCAACATATCCAATGGTTGCTGGGAATGATCGCTGGGGATTATCTTTGCGCATGCATGACCGTGGACGCATACATGACAAGTATTTGCCCTGTGACTCTGTGAGGAGTGAACGAGAAGGATCTCATGTTTTGGCATTAATTAGCTTTGCTTAAAGATAATCCGCACCCGTAATTCCCGGCAAACTTTTCATCTATTGGATAACATCTCTGTTTTCTATTTGTTTCTAATCCTTCCACAGTTCCACCCTTCTCTTGAGCATTAAAAATTATTTTTCCAACTTTTTTAGTATCATGTGAGATAAATTCACATTGATATTCCGTTTATTACTTTATTTCATTACATTCCATTCACTTTATACCTTATTATATTTTTATTTTAATTCATTTTATTAAAGTTGAGTCTCTGATCTCAGTCTAACTAGCAGAGTAAAAATAAATAGTAAAAATATAATGCAAAAAGGTGAATAAATGTTTTACAATTCAAAAAATAAATAGAAAGACATATTATCTGTACTATATAACCTCCTGTCTTAAATATAACATCTAGTTTACAGTAAAAATAACATTACAAACTATATCTTATATTTAAGACTGGAGATAGCATATACTTATTATTTTATAATTTTCGAATATGTGTGTGTACATAATTCTCAGCTATCAGCTGATTATTATTTATTTTTCCCAATATTTAATAGGTATAAACTTAATGTTAAGTTTTGGTTTGTTATGGTTCTCAGTTCCCATGGCATGGAATTTTTCATTTTTTCCTTTTAAATCATACAAGAGATGAGGCCATAATGATATTAAATTTATTACGTAATTTAAATTTTTCGAGCACGATGTAATATTTTTTGCAGCACATACCAGTTTAAATATCTAGAATTATTAATTCCTTTCCCATAGCGAGAGGCGTGAACAAGAAGCATCATATGTTCAGCGGGAATGACCAACTCAAGATTGGTTAAGCGAGAATAGCCCCCTTAGCAGTAAATCTAAGCTCTCGGTGGTGAAACTTTTTTAAGCCATGATAATTTAAAACAATAAAAAATATATTTTATGAAGTGTAAAATCCAAACCGTTGAAATTACAATTTTAATGATTAAGATGAGAAGCGAAGGAGAAAGCAAATGAAGGGACCTTTTCCTAAATTTTGGTGAGGGGGCAATTGCACTGGCCTTCTTTCTTAATCAAGTGTTTTTTCTAGCAAATCAAAATTAAATGTTTTTTACTCATTATCTACCTTATAGTTACTAACTTTTAGTATTAATAAATCTAACTTGTTTTTAAATTAAGTGCATATATAAATTTCATTCTTATAACTCATTTTACCTGCACGTTTTCTTTTCAATTTACCATGCTCTATTTCTTTTGCGTTGTTATAAGAATAATTATATGTTTGTCTTGATTTCTGATTAAAGGAAGTTAAATTACTTTTCTAACAGATGTAGTTTTCTTATCGTGAAAAAGGTTCTTCAGAAAATGAAAAATTCTACTCTATGGCAAAAGTATTAAAAAAAAGGGACAAATGTACTCTTCTTTAAACTGATTAATTATCATGACTATAATTAATCTTGTTTACGTTCATTTTACAAATACGTTCTGTTGTCTTGTAATTTAAAAATACAATAGTATAAAAAAATTACCAATCATAATCATCATATTTAAACCTTTTTACCAATTAATTTGGGCGCAGCTCCTTTCTTCGCTATTTTCATAGCTGCTTTCTTCGCATCGAGCACCGTGTGAGAACATATCTCCAAATTTTTTTTTTGGCCTGAATATCTCCAAATTAACTAAGAGGTACAATAAAGTAATGCTATTTGCGTTACTCTTATGCTTTATATGTAGTAAGATCTAGTCATGAGGTAGAACTGTTTGTTCTTCACACCATCGAACAAAATTACAAATTAGACGGTTTTTAAATTCTAAATAAACAAACAGTTTGTGCGTGTGGGAGTGTATGAGATTTCGAGGCTACTGAGCGATGGGGCCGACATCAAGTCTGCAGGAGATCAAGAAGCTGGCGTGCCAGAACTCTCTTTCTTTCTCTCCCCATTTCGTCGTCCTGGGTAGAATCCTCTCCGCTGAATTTGACGGGGATGGCCTTGTAGCTACGCTGTGGCACACTTTTTACGGTGGCCCACACCAGATCGAAGTAAAGTGGGAACTGCGCCAAAGCAAAAAGGGTCACTGGCAAGCAAGTCACTGCATATATGGGAAGCGCGGCGTGTTGGAGTTGATCTCTGAGCACAAAGAAATGGCCGGCACAGAATGACACCAACATGGAAGCAATAGACATGAACAATGACGTCAAACCCACTATGAGCCTCATGGGCAGGTCAACCCGAAAATCATACTCCTGATAACGAGAAGTGAGTATGGCTAGGAACATCACTACGGCGGTGATGGAACAGCACAGTGCAATGAGTGATGAGATGGCAAACACGTTGAATGCTGGCTCCCTTTCCAGTGTTGGGTGGCCGGTGTCTTGGTCAACACCACCGGGCAAGGTGGCCGATGTGGCAAAGGCCACCGTCGCAATCAACGCCGCCACCACAGAGCACGACTCTGAGGTTTTATTCAGCCACTCTCCTCCGCTTTTCACCAGTTGAGCGTGAGTTTCCGTGAAGATGTCTTTTGGGGTTTTATTACGGTTGTTGCGTTTAGCAAATAAATGAGAAGGCATTGACTCTTTCACAAACTGCATCCATTTATATAAAGCTGTGAGATCAGATCCATGTCACACACACATATATATAGCTCAACAATTACAACAGTGACCAATGAACTACCTCCAACCACTTGATTTCCCATTGCATTTGGAGGGCAGCGCCGGGAATAAGCCAGGGTTTGTATTGTCCAAACTTGGCAGCCAAGTGTAATGCACTGTTTCCCTTGTGATCCACCTTCCGAAATGCACTCTCTTTAAGAATATTCCTTTGGAGCAACAGTTGATATACGTGGGGTTGCCTGTGCTCTACTGCCAACAACACTACATTCTTTTTCTCTTCATTCATGTCGTGAATAGCCACAGGAAACAATTCTAGAATCTTCTCAACCATCTCTATCACTCCATTCTTTGCAGCGATTAGTATAGGTGTCTCAGTTCTCTTCCTTTTAGAATCTTTCCCCCCTTCACATAACAGCAAATGTTGCTCATCATGATGAGAGTATATAATTAAGTTATAGGTATTAGGTTTTTTGGAGAACAAAACCCTTGTTCATTCCCTTTTAAAGCCCAGGTCAAGGATTTACCCGAGCCCCTCTTGAGATTGTACTATCAAGGTCTAAAGTTTCGTTACTCACCTTTGTCCTGTTCTTCATCATTTCCTGGTCTGATTGGTTTGCTATCTTGGTCTAGAGAATAGGGAGCTTCTGTTTCCTTTGCATGATCGGTGGCTGAGGCAAAATCAACGGCTTGGGGTTCACTCCCATCGTTTTCGTACTCGTACAAGGAAGCACGACAAAGAAGTTTATTCATTACTTGAAAAGACCAAACGTGCTTCTGCTTCTTTCGACGTATTCTTTTTAATCCACTCGAGCCTGAATCAATATGTCAAAATAGATATAGATATATACCCGTCATTATTTAGGATTAATTAATATGGAAGTAACAAATTAGAAGCAAATGTACCTAAAAAAACACAATATAAAAGGGCCACATACAGATGCATCACAAAACCCTGGACACTTTGCTTTCCTATCTACTCTGCAATTAAAGTAACACACGAGTGTTCATGGATAAGCATACCTTGGCCAAGAATTACCGACGCTGCCAGATATAGAAATCTGAAAAATTTACAGCAGGCTTCGCAGTTTTCTGGATATAACTGACTCGTATTATCATGAGCTCTGCGTTCTGATCCTAGACAAATGTAATGTAAATGGTGAATTGATGGGGATATTACAAGTGCATGGTGTACCCAGAAAATTCGCTTTCTCCTATAAATAGCCAAAAAAGAAAAAGAAGAAAAAGAAATAATGTACCGAAGTTCAAGAGAGTCCTCACCTGTTATGCTATTATTTCCTGCCCCTTCAGGATCCTCTGCATTATTTGATGGCTGTCCTCTCGAGAAAAATTTTTCTTTCAAAAAGTGAACCACTGGAAATTTGTTGGTTACTGGAAATGAAAATACACAAGCTCCTGTCTCAAGCTAAAGCTAAAAGAATAGAGTATAATACAAATCATGCATTTAATTTAATGCTACATGGTATTGGGGATGTGCCTTAATTGGTGTTTGTTTTTAATATCGCATGTGTGTGCAGACTGTACTTACATCAAGATTCACATACAAAAGACATATGTGTTACATATAAATTGTAACATGACAATAATCTCTTAACTATCATTCTTTCAAAAAATAATTTTTGTATTTAAAAATAATTAATTAAAGATTTTAAATCTGGATCGTTCAAATCCGATATAGATTATTCAAATCTGATGAGCTTAGAATGCTCATCAAAGTGGAGCAGTGAACTAGTTTCGCAAATAAATGAACTGCTTGACTTTATTCAGA